TGATTGCTTTTGGAAAGTTTGATCTCCTTGAAAAAAGAGGAGTTTAGTTTTTTTGGCTACCGCTCAGTCTATTTTACTTTTGGATAAAGTTCAAAATCGGAGAACTAGAATGGATCACTAAAGATTTCTTACAGGTAGAAGGAAGCAGAGTAGCTCCGGTCCTTGCCCTCAGGCTGACCAGGTAGAAGATTTGATGTGCCTGGCAAATGCTGGCAGTGTGCTCCAGCAATCCATCTAGTATGGTGGTGCTTGAGGACAGGAGGCAGAAATGCCTGACGACAAGGGTGTTCTACTCAGTCCTACAAACCAGTCATGGAGAATCCTGGGGTGAGAAATTTGGTCCTCCCTCGCATCAGATGCCCATGTTCAGCAAAAAACTCCTAATTTGTATATTTTTAAATGTGTGTTGCATGCAGTAATATTTAGTTTGCTTAATAATAGTATTATTCCTAGTGGTAGTGAATGTACTTAGAATATGCTTGGATACTCTGGAATATTCTACTATTTAATTATTTATAATTTATAAACATTCTTAAACACTTTTTAGCATATTCTAATTTATTCTGAAAGTTGATATTTAATCTTGTGTTTATAAATTATAAACATGTTATAATCATAACCTTCCAATTGATCAATATAATTAATAAATAATAAGCATTATTATTAAGCAAACCAAGCTTTGCTGCATGCAATGCATAGCAAAATTTTAATCTAGTTGATCAAATGGATGTTTATAATTTATAAATGTGTTTATAAATTATAAATTCAAGATTAAATATAAATTAATAACAACTGTTAAATGGTAGAATATCCCAGAAAATTCAAGTATATTCTAGATATATTCATTACCCCTACAAGTTTAATTAAGCAAACCAAAAGTTCTGAAAAAATTGGCAACTATATATAAGGGCTTTTGACAAAAATTTCCATGAATCAGCAAGCTTGTATTTCTGGCAGGTCTGCCAAAAATCCCTCAATATCAAGAAACACATCATTGAATTCTTGAGGTTGCCCCCAGCAATTGGTTTGCACATCTCCACCTTGAACCCCACCAACAAACTCCTGACTAACTTGATCAGCAAACACTCCATCGCCAAGCTCGCTAGTTTGAGCAAACTCTTCTTGCACACAATCACCAACAGGCCCTTGACCCAAGCCTGGCAGAAGCTCCCAATAACTGTTTTGATCAAAAGCCTCGTGAGATAAAGGTTGGGCACAATCACCAACACCATGACCTTGCTCCCAATAAGTAGTTTGATCAAAACCCGCAACACAATCACCCATAACTTGAGATGGTTCTCCTACTTCCTGGACGACTGGAGTGATCTTGTCTCCCCCATGGCTCTTTAAAGTTCTCTTATTTCCACCGGTGGGCGATAGCGATACGTCCCTTACCTTGCCACCTTGTGTCCATTTTCCCTTGCACGACCTACAAACGTAGCGCGGCTGGTCACGCTTGCCAGTACTCTTCTCGTTGTTGTAGTAATCGAACCGCGTGTTGTAAGATTGGCACCTTGGGCACTGGTACACGTTGTCCGGAAGGTCGTGGTGCTCCCACACGCCGTACAAGTTTTGATCCCTCACCTCTTGGGCCGTGAGCTTGCAAGCCCTCTCGCTTCTCAGTCGACGCTTCTTTGTCAGCACCATGATACCATCGTCTTCTCTACTTCTCTTGCTTCCTCTCGCCATAGCTCGTATGACCCTAAAGGACTTGACCTTATTTATATATGCACTAAAGTAAAGGCTGGGTTAGCTTAAACATCGTAGATTCCGTGCGGTTTAAGGTAGTCTAGAGCGCTGAAAGATGCATAGCGTACTGGATGATGCGACTGAGAAGAAACGCGTGATCAAGTTTGAGTCGGTGAAAATCCGAGCGGTTGTGATTCGCATGTGTGCCGAGCCCGTGCCGAGTGTGCACGCTCGCGGAGTGTTCGACAGGGCACTGGATTTTTCGACTGTGTCATGGAACAGTTTGATGCTTGGATACGGAGCGCACGGGCTTGGTTCTCGAGTCGAGCTGTTTCCATTCATGGAACGATCCGTTTTCTCACCTTTGTGGCTGCGTTGAAAGCTTGCGCTAGTTTGGATAGGCAAACTTGTCAAACTCCGTGCTTTAGAAGATGGCATGGCGAGGTAAGAAACACTTCTTAGTTTTCTCCTCTTGAGAAATGGATTTCCCTTGTTGTCACAGATCTACAGAGATTGTGATACTAGGGTTCTCAAGGGGGCTTCTCACGGAGGAGGCAACCACTGTCGTTTCACTGTTTAGATATTCTATGTTTTGTGCTTTTAATAACATGTACTTGCCAACATTTATGAGGAGCTCAGAGGAATTTCGGGAACTCAAGCAAAGACACAGCGATCTGAGAGGAATTTCGCAAGCGAAGACTGAGCGGTTAGGAGAGTATGTGTGGCGAATTTGCCAAAAAAACCTTTTTTCAAGGAGATTAAACTTTCCAAAAGCACATAATCGCGACCTTTAGTGCTCTTGTAATGTTGTTTTGATAACAAAAGGGAAGATTGATGCAATGGTATTGCCAGTGGTCACTATCCGGGTCTCTTTGTGGGTGCAAGAAAAACATGGAAACTTGACAACAAAGCTAGTCAGTAAAATGCCAGTTATGCTATTACAATCGTTTCTACTTGTCACTAATACATGTTTTTGGAGGGTCTTGCTGTAGGCATGAGACCACTGGGACAACTGAAGAAGAGAATGAGAGAACAAGGAGCAAGAACATTTAAAATAAAATCATCACCCTAGAATGTAATTAACAGCATCCAGACTTGGAATGTGTGACTTCCACCAGTACTACAACATACTTTTAGGGGAGCTACAGCTGTGACAACACTTTCATGTAAGCAAGTGTTATTCATTTAGATTAATTTTATATTTATAATTTATAAGCTTTTTTAACCCTTTCTAGTATATTCTTTTTTATTCTATCATCTAATGGTTGATATACAATAAGATTAATCTTGTTTTTATAAATTACAAACATGCTTATAATTATAAAATTTATTTAATCAATTAGATTAATAAATAAGAATAACACTACTATTAAGAAAATCAAGCATTGTTACATATAATGTGTAGCAATGTTTTTTAGAAATATGGATCTAGAGAGCATATACTTAGAATATATCCACTTCTAAAGAAGATAAGCAAATTAAGCAATATTTTAGTTTGTGGTTTGAGCATATTCTAACATAACATAATCAGTTTATAATCCTTATTTTACTTTTGGATAAAGTTCAACACCCCCTCAATCGGAGAACTAAAATGGTGGCCAAGGACTGACTAGAACACCCTCGTCATCAGGCATTTCTGCTGCCTATCCTCAAGCACCACCATGCTAGATGGATTGCTGGAGCACACTGCCAGCATTTGCCAGGCACATCAAATCTACGAGGGCAAGGACCAGAGCTACTCTGCTTCCTTCTAACTGTAAGAAATCTTTGGTGATTGTACAAACCAGTCATGGAGAATCCATGAAGAAATTTGGTCCTCCCTTGCATCAGATGCCCATATTCAGCAAAAGCTCCTAATTTGTAAATATACTTGAAAATATTATATATATTTTAAAATGTGTTGTATGCAGCAATATTTAGTTTTCTTAATAATGGTATTATACTTAAAATATGCTTGGATACTCTGGGATTTTGGTTGTTATTCATTTAAATTAATCATGTATTTATAATTTATAAAAATTCCTAAACACTTTCTAGCATATTTTAGTTTATTCTAATAGTTGATATTTAATCTAGTGTTTATAAAATATAAAACATTTAATTTTAAATAAAAATAAAAATAAAATGAAAATATCTAACTTTAAATTTGATGATAAATGTTTGGAAAGTTGAAGTTGTTTCTTATTTTTAATTTATTTATGTGAAAATTGTATTTATGTACTTGTTGCCAACCTGCAAGCTAGTCTAAAGTAGTATAGATAATAATAAATAATATAATATATCTACAATGGTGGGGAGCATGTTCGGTTGCCATGCTTCTGGGAAATTTTTATTGATGTTTGCATGGGCAATGAGAGTTGGGCACAACAGCAAGGCTGGAAGAAGCACATTGCATATATATATATATATAAATCAATCTGTGTGTGCGCATGCAAAGTTTGCATCCATATTTTTACTTGGTAAGCTAAACCTGAATCATCATACGTTGCGAGTAAGATTGAGATGGAGGCCATATTGCATCTGTCACTAGTTTGATAGTGTTGCAAATGACTTTGCCCAAGTAAACGAGATCCAGATCACATGCTCCCCTTTTTTTTCACTCTAGAGCAATCTTTACACTTAGAACCATGATCACATGTAAACAGACCAAGATACCTATATATTGGCGATTAGGAGATCGAGCTCCAAAGAAAGAAGCATAGAAGGTTTCAATCTCTTTGCCTTGCCAACGAGGTAATCACGCGTTATCACGAGTTGAGGTTCTTACTGCCACAACACACGAAAACTCGAAATGTCTCGTGAGCTCTAAACGTAAAGATTAGATTAATTACTAAAGAATTATTTGAACTTATATTCTCCTCATATGTTCTACGTCTGTAAATTCCTAGACTTGTCACGGGGTTCGTCTGAGGAGAAGCGGTGCTCTCGGGAAAGAAAACAGTGAAGCTGGCGGCGAGACGCGACACGGGGGACAAGAGTCACTGTGAAAATCTGTGAACAAAAGATTAAAAATCCCCTGCCGCTTCAATAAGGTTGAAAAAGGAACAATTTACCCCTTGAATCTCGAGTTTTGAGGTGCGTACTGCGAAGAGAATCTCGCTGCTTTCTCGACGATTGTTAGTAGATTCTGTCAATGCGTGTTGCTTTTGTCCAGACGCTTTGTCCGGAATGATCAGAGGTTTTAAAATCTTTCTCTCTCTCTTCTATCCTATCCTTTTCGTTCTCTAATCGATCTTACTTCCAAGCTTGCAAGTTTGTCCTCGATCTGCTCTAAAAGATTCCTTCCAAGTGTTTCTCTTATTTGCTTGATCATAGCATGTTCGTTTGCTTGGTTTTCCAGCTTCTTTGCTTTGAGCGCAGCTTAGAAGAGTTTAGCAGTTTTCGCTTTCAGGACGGGTGGTGGGTCTCTCGTCGTGCATTTGTGGCGGCGTTAAGGCTTTTCCAGACTTGTGGATGGTGCCAGCCACGCCATAGCCAAGCCAGCACTCGCATACCAGGTTAAAGAGGTCCCCACCTACACTGTCACTGATAATAGATCGATCCATCGAGAGAGAGCAGTGGCATCCAAAGCCCTATCTATCAATCAATCCATCCATCCAAAGTTCTTTAAATGCTCCACCATGATCCCTTCCACTGATCTTGGATCTCGCCATGGTTACATGCTTCCTCCCGCGAGAGTTTTTGCATTGTGGGGTCACGCAAAACTTCCTTTTTAAACTTTTTTTTCTCGTCGCGAGTTGACTGCCCTGGAAGTTGAAAGGAGGAGGAGAGGATCGGAAGCTCTCTCGTCGTGGATAGCATAGATTTCTAGTGTTTTTTCTTCACACTTTCTCGTTGGATCCATGGCGGTGGTGGCGCTGTTGCATTGAGAGATCGAGAGCTTCTCTCGCTAATGGGTCATCGCGCAGGGATCCAAGAACACGATCTCTAGCGGAAAAGAGAGGATAGATTGATGGAAGCAAGACTGGATATGGTGGTGGTGGTGGTGGTGGTGTTCTTCCTTTCCCTGGCTTTACCGGTTGAGAGCTCCGATATTGTTCTTCCCTGGAACGATGATGTGCTGGGACTCATCGTCTTCAAGGCGGATCTTCACGACCCACGACGAGCGCTGGCCTCCTGGAGCGAGGATTCGGCGAGCCCGTGCAACTGGACCGGGATCCAGTGTAGCCCACAATCCGGGAGAGTCACCCAAGTCACGCTCGATGGCCTCGAGCTCTCGGGACCGCTGGGACGGGGCCTCCTCAAGCTCGACCACCTCCAGGTCCTCTCGCTCGCCAGGAACAATCTCTCCGGATCCATCTCTCCGCAGATTCGCGTGCTCAAATCCTTGCGAAACCTGAGCTTGAGCCACAACGCTCTCTCGGGTCCCCTCCCTGGAGCCAGCCTCGCCAGTTTGGAGCTCCTCTCCCTCCTCGACGTCTCCCAGAACTCTTTTTCCGGGAGCGTGCCACCCGAGCTCTTCGCCAATTGTTCCAAGTCCCTGAGGTACGTGTTTCTCTCCGGGAACCAGCTCGAGGGCGATCTCCCGGACTCCATCGCCAGCTGCGAGAGCTTGGAAGCTCTGGGAGCGTCCGAGAACCGGCTCTCGGGCTCCATCCCAGCCGGAGTTGGATCGCTGTCCCGGCTGAGCTCACTCGACCTCTCGCACAACTCGTTGAGCGGGGAGATCCCTCCGGAGCTTGGCCAGTGTCAAATGCTGGTGAGCTTGGATCTGAGCTATAACCTCCTGTCCGGAGAAATCCCGTCCTTCCTCGAGAGCTTGTCGCGGCTGGAAGTTCTTCGCTTGCCTGGGAACTCTTTCTCTGGTGGCGTGCCCGAGTGGATCGTCACTGGCTTTCCGGAGCTCCAGGAGCTCAACCTCGCGGAGAACGATCTGGGAGGGACGCTGCCATCTTCCATCGGCTCCATGAAGGCGCTGCGGAGGCTCTACCTCCACAACAACAATCTCCAAGGAGCTCTTCCGCCAACCTTGGGCGGATGCTTCAACCTCTCCACCATCGACTTGAGCAGCAACAACTTCTCCGGCGCCATCCCTGACGAGATCTTCGAGCTGGAGCTGGAAAGCTTGGCTCTCGCCATGAACAGCTTCTCTGGAGGCCTCCCCGCGGCTCTCTCGTCGTCAAACTCGTCCAGCGCTTGCAAAGTCATCCAGAGCTTGGATTTGTCGAGAAACTCTCTCGAGGGCGAGATCCCACCGCAGGTTTCCGGCTGCCAGCACTTGAGAAGCTTGAATCTGGGACAAAACGGGCTGTCGGGCAACATTCCGGAAGAACTCGTCGCTGGACTGTCCGAGCTGAGCAGCCTCGACCTCGGCAGTAACTTCCTCACAGGATACATCCCCAGAAGCTTTGGCGGCTCTCCATCGCTGGAAACTCTCAAGCTGGATGACAACGCTCTAGTTGGAATCATTCCTGAGGAGCTTGGAAACTGCTCCTCTCTGCGATACCTGTAAGTGTTCTTCGCGTTTGCCACCTAGACAGAGTTTCACGTAAGTTTCTTGTCCATGCAGGGATCTCTCGCAAAACAACTTAACTGGAGGAATACCCGTCGAGCTCGCCGATCTGAGCAGCCTCCAGAGCTTGGATCTATCATCAAACCATCTCACCGGACAGATCCCAACAAGCTTCGCCCAGCTCCAAAACCTCTCGCTCTTCAACGTCTCGCACAACTCTCTCGCCGGCCCCATTCCAAGCGATGGAGCTTTTCCACTGCTAGATCCGAGCTCCTTCGCTGGAAACGCTCATCTTTGCGGTGCCTCGCTCAGCATCGCCTGCCCCGCAATCCCAAAACCGATCGTCCTCAACCCAAACGCCACCACCACCCCAGACCCGATCATCTCATCCTCAGACCACCGTTCACCACCCTCGAGCAAGATCGTTCTCAGCGTCTCGGCCATCATCGCCATCTCGGCCGCCGCGGTGATAGCTCTCGGCATCGTCGTCGTCAGCCTCCTCAATCTTCGGAGCCATCCCAGGCCGCGAGCCAGCTTCTACGTCGTGGACAGCCTCCCTGGATCATCTCCCAGCGAAGATCTCGCCATTGGAAAGCTCGTCATGTTCACGGACGACTCGGACAGCCGCGACGAGGATCTCCTCCCGACCGCCCAGGCGCTGCTCAACAAGAACTCGGAGATCGGCCGAGGAGGCTTTGGAACCGTGTACAAGGCGACGCTGGCCGCGGGAAGAACAGTGGCGGTGAAGAAGCTGAGCGTTCCAGGAATGGTAGAAACGCAGGACGAGTTTGAGAAGCGCGTCCAGTTCCTCGGGAAGATCCAGCACGAGAACCTTGTCAACTTCCAGGGGTACTACTTCACTCCAAAGCTGCAGCTGCTCATCTACGACTTCGTCCCGAACGGAAACCTCCACTCCAAACTCCACGAGCAATCTGTTCTTCCGTGGGAGCTCCGCTTCAAGGTGGCGCTGGGAGCCGCGCAGGGCCTCTGCTACCTCCACCACAAGTGTCGGCCGCGGGTGATCCACTACAACTTCAAGTCGAGCAACGTTCTCCTGGACGATGGCTTCAACGCGCGGGTGTCCGACTATGGCCTGGCCAAGCTGCTTCACTCGAGGGACCGCTTCGTTGTCATGAACAAGCTCCAGAGCTCGCTGGGATACCTGGCACCGGAGTGTGGCTGCGAGAGCTTCAAGGTGACGGAGAAGTGCGATGTCTATGGCTTCGGGGTCGTGCTGCTCGAGCTCATCACTGGGAAGCCGCCGGTGGAGTATCTCGAGAACGATGTAGTGATCCTGTGTGACTTTGTGAGATCGCTGGCGGACGATGGCAAGCCGCTGCTGTGCGTGGACCCGAAAATGGTGGTGTATCCCGAGGAGGAGGTGATGACGCTGATCAAGCTGGGGCTGGTTTGCACGTCACCGGTGCCTGCTAACAGGCCGTCAATGACTGAGGTCGTCCAGATCTTGGAGCTCATCAAGCCGCTTGCTGATAACAGGAGCTAGTTCTTCACGAGGATCGCAAAGAGCGAAGTCTAAACTTTCCTGCTTGGCTGAGCTTCCTTAAAGAGGAAAAAGAAGAAGTTTTACGGTTTTCCATCGACGAGGTTACAAAGAACCGAGGTTTTTTCCACCCTTCTAGAAAGCACTCCAAAATTCTCCAGCAAAATAAGAAGCAGCAGCCGCGACTGATGGTGGTCACAGACCTTCGAAGTACCGCAAGTGATCATCAAATGTTTCCGCGTGTCTGATCTTGGTTATGGATCCGTCGTCTTCGATCTACAATTTTCATTTTTTGTCACACACTGATAGGGAGAAACCAAAGAGGACATACCCAGTACTCTGGTGGCCGCATTTTCAAGTTGTAAGTCGATGCCATACTCATGCAGTACGCTCCGGCGTCGTGAACAACGATTCCATCGCCCTGTCGCAAGGTTTTAGATCACCACGGAAAGAAAACCTTATATGAACATCTTACTCTCTTTGGAGTTGGAAGCTCTCTATTCTTTCCCAGGAAATCGGCCGACTCACAGACAGGCCCCACAACGTCGTAAGTTTTCACTTCAGCGTCGGATCCAGCGGGAGCTACGAGCTCAATGTGCTGCGTCAAATAAAGAGTTAATAAAAAGGAAGTGCAAATGGAATGGCTGGACACTTACCTGGTACGCGTCGTATAAGCTGGGACGAATCAACTCAGACATGCTACCATCAATCACAATGAAGTTCTTGTTGCCATTAGTTTTGACCCCCGTCACGCGGTTAACCAGCGCTGCCGCGTTCGCAACGAGCGATCTTCCAGGTTCCATGATCAAAGTCAGACCTCTAGAAACCACCAGATCACGAACCTAAAGGTGCATCTTTGAGTCAATACTCTGGAATGATCTAAGCTAGAAACAGTTACCGTGTCAACCAAATCCCTTGGTGTTGGCAGAACGGCCCCGGTATGATAATAATCGATGCCCAGACCACCTCCAATGTTGAGATACTTTAAATCAAAACCTTGAGACTTGATCTCATCCATGTACTGGACCATGAGCAATGCAGCATCCCGGAAGATATTCACCTGTGGAACGCACTTACGTAAGAGAAAGAGAAAAAAAGAAATGCTTGCCTTCGTGATGGTCGAGCCTAAATGGCAGTGCGCACCAACAAGCTTCACCTCATTGGGATGCTGTTTTATCTCATCCAAAAACCACTGGAGCTTCTCGTTGCGAATGCCAAACTTGGAGTTTTTGTTGCCTGTCGCGACATAAGGATGAACCTGAAAGAAACATTGAGCGCGAGCACGCTAGATGAAATTGAAACACCACTCACTTGTGGATCAACGTCAGGATTGATGCGTAGTAAAACCCTGACGCACTTGTTGGCAATCTTCCCAGCTTCGACTATGTGAGCGAGATCAAACTCGCTATCAATGTTGACGAGCACATCGTTCTGTGCAGCAAGCACCAACTCTTCGGGAAGTTTTCCATTTCCATTAAACACGCACCTGATGAAAAAAAAAAAAGAGTTATTCCTCGAGTATGTCTTGGAAGGAAAAAGAAAATAAAAAACTTTACCTGGTGGGATCAAAGCCAGCATGCAATGCAAGCCTAAGCTCATTTCCACTGACGAGCACAGCACCACTGCCCAAGCTCCGGAAATGCTCGAGGATTTTCACATTGTTGTTGGCCTTGATAGCATAGCCAACGATGGAGCTAATGCCCTGCAATGCCGACTGATACGCCAAGAAATTCCGGCTAAGCTGGGGCTTACTGTACAGATAGAATGGCCGCTTCTCGGGCACCGATTCCATCACGTCTTGCACCCTGCGATCCTCGCAGTAGAGGAATCCATCGCCTTTGGCCGTAAACGCCCTGGATGCTGATTCAAGCGAGCCGGATCGCTTGCTCTCGGCGCCAACACGCTCCGACACAGCCGATCTGATAGTAGTGAGCCTGCGCCGCGTCGAGAAACGCACGGCCGACCTGGAAATGCCGACGATCTCTCCCAATCCCGCGCTCTTCCCCAATGCGGCTCCAATTGGAGCTCGAGAGCTTCTCGTCGCCATCTAAACCCTAGAATAAACCCTAATCAGAGGTATCTCCGACCTTTTAAAGGTCTAGAATAGAAAAAGTTTCTACCTTTAACCCCGCCAAACTAGGGCAATTAAAAAATTGGCGCCAAGGATTGGGAGGATTAGGGTTAGGGCTAGCGGGCTCCAGCGTAGATGTTAGAGAGCAATGCGTAGGCGCCCGTGCGGCCGGGCGCGATCTTCATCAGCATTTGCGCGACGCGCCTCCCTCTCTCGAAATCGCCGTGAGTTCTACACGAACTGAGCAGCGCCATTCCATTGAAAGCCCTCTCCTCTTGGGGCGTTCGCAGCACCAGATCCTCGGCCTCGCCCAGCCAACCCGCGCGGCCCAGCAGATCGATCATACACCCGTAGTGCTCCGGCAGCGGCACAATCCCGTGGTCCTCGATCATGAGCACCATGTAATCGCAGCCCCGATCGGCGAGCCCGGCATGGCCGCACGCCGCGATCACGCTCTGGAACGTGATCGTGTTGGCCAGGAATCCCTCGTTCTGGAGCTCCTGGAAGAGATCCAGGCTCTCGAGGAATCGGCCATTGCTCGCGTGCGCGGCGATGAGCGCGTTCCAAGAGATCGTGTTGCGATGCGAGAGATTGGCGAAGATGGCGATGGAATCGGCGAGGCTGCCGCATTTCCCATACATGTTGAGGAGCGCGGTGCCCAAGAACACACCGCGATCTCTCCCACTCTCGGCGATCAAGCCGTGTACGAATCGCCCCTCGCCCAGCGAGCTCTGCCCCACGAAGCAATCCAGCATCGCCGCGAATGTGATCTCGTCTGGCCGCGATCCCTCGCCCAGCATCCGCCGGAAGAGCTCCATCGCCTCGATAGCCAGCCCCTGCGCCGCCATCGCGCCCAGCATCGCGTTCCAGGAGATCGCGCTCTTGCTCTCCAATCGATCGAAGATCTGTGATGCGCGATCCAAGAGGCCAAACTGGGCGAACATGTAGCACAGCGCGGTGCCCACGCGATCGTCGCTCTCGCAGCCACAGCCGCGGATTCGAGCCAAGATCTCCTCGCCATCACGAATGCTTCCGGCATTCGCGCAAGCGTCAATCGCGGCCACAAACGCGATGGCGTCGGGCTTGATCCTCATCTCCCGGAAGAGCTCCAGCGCCGCGGCGTGATCGCCACGATCGGAGTAGCCCCCCAGCATCGTCGTCCACAGCACCACATCCTCCTCCTTGCCTCGATCATCGCGGATCCGATCGAAGAGCTCGCGCGCTCGATCGATCCGGCCACACTTGCTATACATCCTCACGATCGCAGTGCCCAGCACGAGGTTGATCGAGAGCCCAGTGGCGACGATTCGATCGTGCGCGGCCTCTCCCTCTCGCAGCTTTGCGATCTCTCCGCAAGCATCCAGCAGCGTCGCGAAGGTGGTGGAATTTGGATCACACTGCGCCTCCAGGTCCATGGATCGGAAGAGCTGGATCGCGTCGCTGGATCGGGAATTCTGGGCGTAGCCCGCCAGCATCGCGTTCCAGGAGATGGTGTTCTTAACGTCCCCAGCCATGGAATCGAAGATCTTTCTCGCCTCGTCGACGCTGCCACACTTGCTGTACATGGTGATAAGCGCGGTGGAGAGAACTACGTCTCGATCGATCAATCGTTGCTCGGCAGCGCAGGAATGGATGGTTTTGCCTGGTCGCAGCTTGCCCAAGATCGAGCAGCCATTGAGGCTGTTGATGAAAGTCACCTGGAATTGGGTCAAACGAGAAAGTCATCACGGAAGATCAGGAACACAAGCGCACCTTTTGTGGGCGAATGCCTTCCAGCTGCATTTGATCGAGGAGCTGGAGTGATTTGGTCGGGAATCCATGGTGGATGTAGGCCGCGATCATGATGTTCCAGGTGACCAAGCTCTTCTCGGGCATTCTCGCGAAGATCCGGCAGGCCTGGGGGAGATCTCCACACTTGTTATACATGTTGACGAGCGTTGACGCCACGGCCACATCGGTCTCTATCTCGTTGACCCCGGCGAAGCTCGCGTGGATGGATTTTCCCTGCTCTAGATCCCGCGTTTCGCTACACGCCGAGATCGCAACCACGAAGCTCGTCTTGTCCGGCCGCGATGATCCATCCTGTTGCATCTGCCAGAAGAGCCTCAGCGAGATCTTCCACTGCCGCTCACGATTGCAAGCCTTCATCAGCGTCGTCCAGGAAATTCCATCCTGGGACTCCATCGCCGCAAAGAAATCCATGGCCTCGCGCAAGAATCCCCCGGCCGTGGCGTAGAGATTAAGGAGGGAATTGGCGAGGACGAGGTCGCCTCCAAACCCTCGCTCTGTGGCTCGATCGAAGATCCTCCGGCCCTGGATCGCGTCTCCGAGCGCGACGCAGAGATTTACGGCCGCCGCGAAGGTGATCCTGGTGGGAAGAACCCCGCACTGCTGCATCGCATGGAAGAGATCGAGCGCCTCGCGGTGTTGCCCGCGCTGGGCAAATGCCGAGATCATCGTTGTCCATAGCCCGGTGTCGTCGAGATCGAACTGGCGGAGGAGCTGCCGCGCGTCGTAGAGGCTGCCAAGCCGGAGATACATGTGAATCACATAGCTCGCCAAGAACTCGTCCCTGTCTAGCCCGTCCCTCACAAGATCGGCGTGGATCGATCGGCCTTCCACCAATCTGCGGCAATTCACGAGCTGGTGGCGGTAGAGCGTGATCGCATTCACCGATGACGCCGCTGCTGGCGCTGCGATCAAGATCCTCCCCAGGAAATACTGGCCTCCGTGAGAGAGCGACGACGCTACCGCCATAATCCCGGGCCGATCGAACGATCCGCGAGTGCGAATCACTCAGATCCTCGCCCGCGCCATCGCGATCGATCGATCGGTAGAACATTACCGCGTAGAAGGCCGCGCTCCCATTCTTCCCTGGATTTCAAAAAGATGCCCAGGCACATACCGTCATAGAGCGTAGCAGAATATCTCCAGAGCAAGCAGAATATGCCTTTTCGGCGGGATATTCTGCTAGATCTGGCCCAAAAAGGGCTCACCCAAGGCGATGGCGATGGCGCTGGAGGAGGATTGCGACAGTAGAGAGGAGGCAAGGTAATGGTGTGACACGCTAGCTAGCGGGAGATCCCGGGGGACTCTTTGATCCAGGGCAGAAAATCCGAGGAGAGGAGCGAGGGATCAAGAGAAATTTGGAGGCCGCGGCCATGGCCATGGAGGTCACCCAGGTCCTCCTCAACGCGCAATCCGCCGATGGCAGCGTCCGCAAGCTCGCCGAGGACAATCTCCGCCAGTTCCAGGACCAGAATCTCGCCGCCTTCCTCGTCTCGCTCAGCGGCGAGCTCGCCAGCGACGACAAGCCGCCCGAGAGCCGCAAGCTCGCGGGGTTGATCCTCAAGAACAGCCTCGACGCCAAGGACGCCGGGCGGCGCGCGGAGCTAGGGGACCGCTGGCTGCTGCTGGATTCCGCCGCCAGGGCACAGATCAAGGCCGCGCTGGTGGCGACGCTGGCGGCGCCAGTGGCGGAGGCGCGCCACACGGCGGCACAAGTGATTGCAAAGGTGGCGGCGATAGAGCTCCCTCGCCAGGCGTGGCCAGAGCTCATCCCAGGCCTCCTCGCCAACGTCACGTCCTCCATGGGTGTCGCCAATGCCGCCCATCTCAAGGAGGCGACGCTGGAGACTCTGGGCTACGTGTGTGAGGCCATTTCTTCCGAGGTTCTCGCGCAGGATCAAGTAAACTCCGTGCTCACGGCGGTCGTGCAAGGTATGAACTCCTCCGAGGCGAGCAGTGAGGTGAGGCTGGCCGCCACCAACGCGCTCTACAATGCGCTCGACTTCGCGCAGACCAACTTCGACAACACGGTGGAGCGAGACTATATCATGAGGGTGGTCTGCGAGGCAACTTTGTCACCGGATTCTCGAGTCCGCAAGGCCGCGTTTGAGTGCCTGGTTTCGATCGCGTCCACGTACTACGAGAAGCTGGCGCCTTACATGAAGGATGTTTTCGCGATCACTTCCAAGGCTGTCAAGGAGGACGAGGAGTCCGTGGTGCTGCAAGCTCTCGAGTTTTGGAGCTCCATTTGCGACATAGAGATCGAGCTCTTGGACGAGTTCTCGACGACCGGGGATTCGGAGCTGTCCAACTTCCATTTCATCAGGCAGGCTCTGCCTTACCTCGTCCCGATGCTGCTGGAGACGCTGACAAAGCAGGAGGAGGGGCAGGATCAGGACGAGGACGTGTGGAACTTGGCTATGGCGGGAGGGACTTGCTTGGGACTGGTGGCCAAAGCGGTCGGGGATGATATCGTTCCGCTCGTCATGCCTTACGTGCAAGAGAACATCTCGAAGCCCGACTGGCGGTGCCGAGAGGCGGCGACTTACGCGTTTGGATCCATTCTCGAGGGACCCGGACCGGACAAGCTCGCGCCGCTCGTCACCAGCGCTCTACCATTCATGCTCAACGCCATGAAAGACGAGAACAGCCACGTCAAAGACACCACCGCGTGGACGTTGAGCCGGATCTTCGAGTTTCTTCACGGTCCCAGTGTGGATACGTCGGTGGTGAACCAGGCCAACCTCCCGTTGATCCTGTCAGTGCTGCTCGAGAGTATCAAAGACGCACCGAATGTTGCCGAGAAAGTTTGCGGGGCGATCCATGCGGTGGCTGTCGGCTACGACGATTCCTTGACGAGCACCGGTGGCAGCAATCCTCTGTCACCTTTCTTCCAGAACATCGTTCAGGCGCTTCTGGCGGCTGCCGACCGAGAGGATGCGGCGGAGACGAGGCTGAGAATCGCGGCATACGAGACTCTCAACGACGTGGTGAAGTGCTCGTCCGATGACACTGTCGCGGTCGTGGGTCAGCTGGTTCCGGTGATCATGGAGAAGCTCGGGCAGACACTCCAAATGCAGGTACTCTCGGTGGACGATCGTGAGAAGCAGAGCGAGCTCCAAGCCCTGCTTTGCGGGGTTTTGCAAGTGCTCATCCAGAGGCTGAGCTCCAGCGAGCCGACCAAGTACGCGATGGTACAGTTTGCGGACCAGATGATGGGGCTGTTCTTGAGAGTCTTCGCGTGTAGGAGTGCGACGGTTCACGAGGAGGCGATGCTCGCCATCGGGGCACTGGCGGATGCTATCGGAGTGGAGTTCGGGAAGTACATGCAGGAGTTTTACAGATACTTGGAGATGGGACTCCAAAACTTTGAGGAGTACCAGGTGTGCGCCGTGACGGTCGGGGTCGTGGGTGATATATGCCGAGCTCTCGAGGACAAAGTTCTCCCTTTTTGCGACGGGATAATGACGCAGCTGCTCAAGGACCTGGGAAGCAACCAGCTCCACCGCTCCGTCAAGCCGCCAATCTTCTCGTGCTTTGGAGACATTGCGTTGGCCATCGGGGAGAACTTTGAGAAGTACCTGAGCTACGCGATGCCGATGCTCCAGAGCGCTGCGGAGCTCTCGGTCATGCAAGCGGCCGGAGACGATGAGATGCTCGACTACAACAACCAGCTGAGAACAGGGATACTGGAGGCGTACTCGGGGATTTTCCAGGCATTCAAAGGCACCAAGCCGGAGGCGATGATGCCTTACGTAGCTGGCATATTGCAGTTCATCGAGAGTGTGTACCAAGACAAGGAGAGGTACGTTTGCTTGTTTTCTTTTTCTTCTCTTTTCCCAGGATGATGAACCGAAGCTAACTTTTGTTCTTGTGCAGAGATGATGTGGTTCTTAAAGCTGCGGTGGGAGTGATGGGCGATATGGCCGACTGTTTAGCAGGCACCAGCGCACAGTTCTTCCGAAACTCGGCCTTCTACAAGGATTTCCTGGACGAGTGCTTGTCGTCGGATGATCACCGGCTCAAGGAGACCGCGGAGTGGGCTCAGGCGACGATCAATCGCTACATGGTGTAACGCTCGCTCGAGAGGTAACAAGCTTGATCCTTAGACTCCCATCCATCATCGGTCTTCCTCCATATTCATTCATTTCTTTTGAGCTTTCTTCTTCTTCTTCGCTTTCATTGCGCTTCCTTGTAAACTTGAGTCCTCTTCTCCCTCGCCATCTCCATCTTTCTTCCATTTTTTTTTCCTTTGCTTTGGTTCTTTTTTCTTTTTCCACTCTTTGAGCCTTTGGGCTTTTAGAAATTTAGCAGCAGCTCCGGCTCCCGAGTGAGAGAGCAGCAGCGTGAAAAGAGTCAGTTTGAGTGAGGGCAGCGAAGCGTATAATTTTGTCCAATACGTGTTCTCGCTGCCCTCTTTTGTAGGTGAAAGAGGCTCCGAGCGATGGAACCTCACAGAAAAAAGTCAGTGTAATTTTTATTTAAAGAAATTATTATTACACAAAATAAAAACTAATTTTTAACTGCTACAAGAAATAAACTTAACAATATTTATTTGATGTAATACATTTTACTTTTTGCCAAATTCATAATCAATTTACAAACGTTATTGCCGCTTTATTGCCAACACAACAAAAGGATCTAATCATGCTTTTAAAGAAATTTACATTCCATGATTTATAACAGAACCATAAGATTAATTTTCTTTACTAACCATGGTGTTTTAAAAATCTTAATGATGATTATAGAAAGTTCTGGTCGTGCGTTCGAATCCCGTTCCCAGGCAGAGCGGGGGTGCGTTCACGGGTTCGAATCCACTCTGACTCCTTATCATTGCTCCAAAGGGAGGATGAAATAAATACTGTGCCTAGAGGAAGGAGAGACTAGCTAGTACAACAAAGAGGAGGCCTTTGATTTCCCTACGCCCTGTCTGTTCTAGCTAGGAGAATAGCTAAAAGCTCTTGAAACAATCCCCACCACCACCACCGGACTTTTACTCCTCTCATGCTCCAAATCTCTTCTTCTCTTCTTCCAAGTTTCGCTGCTGCTGCTGCTGCTGCTGCTGCTGCTGATCGATGCTTGCTTGCTTGCTTGTTGCTGCTTCATTGATCCATTCAAATCCTTGCGTTTGCTCCAGCTGCTGGCTTAATCTTCCTCTTCTCTACGCAGCCATCACCGCACAGTTGTATATGAAAGTCCCCAGCATGGTCACGTATCGCCACACTGGTCGCTCCTCCTGTTCCTCCTGTGATGTTTGAGCACCACCACCTCGAGCTGGTCTCCAGGCCCAGATCTCGATCCGATCAGGAGCGTCCTGACCACCAATCACGTACAGCTCGCCCTCCATGGCCTTGAACGCTATCCCCCACCCGGAGTTAAAGTCCGCTCTCACCGGAACCTCTCCCAGCGTTCTCCAGTCGTTTCTCATCTTGTTATACACCTTGAGCTCGTTGAGCGCCGTGTCCAGCGCGTAGAGCTGGTTGTCCACCACCGCCACCAGCGGCGGCGCCGTCTGGGACTGCTCGCTCGTCCCAAAGTACATGTTTGGGATCAATCTCCACGTCCCGGTAGCCGGATCGTATTCCTCTCCGCAAGTCAGCTGATCCTGTCCATCCTTGCCACCGATCACGTAGAACTTCCCATCCATGTAGAAACCCGAGCAAAGCCTCCGGCACCTGTTAAGATCCGGGAGTGGCTCCCAAGTCCCGGCCACCGAGTTGTATCTCTCGGCGCTCTTGAGGTTGTCGGTTCCAACCATGCTCGTCCCGCCAGCCACGAAACCATAGTTTCCACAGCTCGCCGACGCGTATAAGCTCCTCGACTGGATCATATCCGGGCCTTTGATCCACTTGTCCTGGACCAGGTCGTAAATCCACACCACGTAGCCTTTGATCTCCATGCCTCGCACCAGCAGCTGTGTTCCGGCCGTGAGAGTCTCCTTGTCGCTCACCTCGAATGCGTAGTCGGACGGGATGGACTGGAGCTGCCGCCATGTCCTCTCCCGGGGATTGAAAGCTCGCCACACTCGCTGGTGGCCATCGCTGAGAATGTACATCCACTGCTCCACGATGCCCAGCTGCTGCCGGGCCTTGTAAATCTCTCCACGCTTGAGCTTGTCGTAGAACTTGCGGCTAACTGTGAAGTACTGCCAGTACGTTGATCTGGGCAGCCTCGCCAGGCACAGCAGCGCTAGATCGTCCGTCAAACCTGGAATAAGCTCTTGCTCCTCGTCGTGTTCTTCGTCTTCCAGAGGATCTCCATTCTCGAATCCACTGCTGCTGGTGCTAGTGTGATGGTAGCCATTCAACCTGGCGCGCTTAGGTCGGTCGTGGAATCCATTCTTCTTCCCATTCTTGGGCCGCCCGTTCTGTGGATGCTGCAAGGAAAGGCGCAGACCATTGGCGAGATGATCCCTATTCTCGGATCCTGCGTGATCACGGTAGGCCATCTCCATCCCCTTGCTGCAGCCGCTCCCATCACAGTAATCCATGCCGCAGCGACGACGACGGCGACGACGCGGCAAAGATTCCAGCTCCTCCCATGCCCAATCTACGCGGCCGCTGGAGCTAGCAATGCCCGCGCAGCCGTCGAGAATTTCTTGTCCTCCGCGCCATAGCCCGCGCGCCGCGCATCAATCGCCGGCAGATCTAGGCGAATCCACCGGACAAGAAGCGCGATTCATGCCTAGATCTAGATCGCTCCGCAAGAAATCCAGCTAACCCTAGCGCGCGCTCCCAGCGAAGACGACGAAACCAACGAAACGAACCCTTGCTTGAATGAGGAGAGATGCTCCTCTCGCCTGTGTGGTCATTGGGCCTAGGTCCGGCACTGGCTTCGGCGCCACACCAACCGCCGAGCCAGTAGCCGAGCCAGCGCCGAGCCACCGTGGCGGTCATGACGTGACGGGCGTCGACGGGTGTCCGTTCCGTCGCGGGACTCAATCATTTTGGTCAACCCCCCAGACCGCATATTCCGCGTTTACCGTCAAAAACTTAAATATCTCCGTTTCCCGCCCTGTGTTTAGGGTTCTTCTTTTTTTTTTTAGGGTTCTTCGCTGCGAGATTTATTTCTTCGCAGCGTTCCTCAGGCTCCGGATCGTCATCACAAGCTCCTCGCGCTCCGCCTCCACCTGCGCGAATCGGAGGCTCATGCTCAGGTACCTCTCGCGCATCTCGCCGAGCTCGGTTTCCAGATCGCTACTCTTGCGCTTGTATCCCAGCAGGCTGCTCACGACATGATCGACGTCTCCCAGATTCTGGAGCGCCGCGGCATGGACGTTCTGCTGTGTCGCGAATGCGCTGCAATGAATGGGTAAAAATCGACCAACTCTCGAAAAGCTTCTAACCTGCGGAGTTGTTCTTTGTACATGGTGTTGGATTCCAGAGCTTCTGCGAGCTCTGTCTCGAGGCTTGCTACTCTCTCCAGTGTGCTTCCCCACTTGGAGCTCTCTTTGAATCTAGTGAGCTTCTCTTGGAGCTGAGCGTTCACCTGGAATGATCGATAGCAAAGTAAGTTTTTCTCGCCCAGAGAATTGATGTCCACTTGCCTGCTGCATTCTCTGGAGCTCCTTTTGTAGTAGCTCCTGCGAGCTTGGAAAGTTGGCCTCCTGCATGAAACTTCCATTAGAAACTGGAGAGTTTTTTGTTTTGCCTCAACCTCATCTTTTTGTTGTTGCTGTTGCTGTTCGTCGGTTTTCTTGATCGAGTTGGAATTAACTTCCTTTTGCCTTGCAGCAACCTCTCGTTTCAAGCTCTCGGATTCAGCAGCCTTTAGCTTCAGCTCCACCTGTTCCAATCCAGTTATAGAGCTTGAACGACGCGAAAGGACAGACATCCAAAGAAGAGAACATAGAGGACGACATTGGAAAACTGAGTAAAACTGGACCAACTAGAAACTGAGAAACTTGGACGAAAGATCGGAAACTTAGAGGGAAAGAAATTGGTACCTCGAGGGACTTGATCTTATCTCGAAGAAGGATAAGCTCCTGGCCTTCTCGTGTTCCAACCTTAACATTGCACTTCGATAATGATCTTGCAAGGACGCCATTACTTCCAGGTGCTATCTTACCGTTTTCGTCTCCGCCACCTCTCCGCTTCTTCACATCAGCTTCCAGGCACTCGACCCGTCTTCTCAGCTCTTCTCTTTCGGCGTCTTGCTCGGTCATCTTTTGCTTCATCTCGCTGTTTTGACGCCGAAGTTTGATGGACTCACATCTCTGCTCCACTTCCAGAGCCCGGCTGGCCGACTGCTCCGCCTGGAGCCTCGAGACACGGTCGTCCACCGCCGCTTTCGACTGCCTGAGCTGCTCCATCTCGGACACCGTCTCAGATAGCTCCGAAACTTTGGCGTCGAGAGAGGATTTCTCGTCCAGAAGGCTGATCTTCTCTTGGCTGAGAGTGTGGAGGCTGGTCTCTAGCTCGGACTTGGCGCTCTGGAGGCCTGCTACTGCTTCCCTGTGCTGCTCGAGCTGGTCGGAGATTTCGATATACTTGGCCCGTAGCTCCGAGTTTTCTCGCTCCAACTTCTGGATTTGACTTTCGAGAGCTGCTTTCTCCGCTGCTAGAGTCCGAGCACTAGCCTCGAGCTGAGCAATCCTTGCAGCCGATTTCTCGAGCTCGGAGGTAACTTCCATTTCTCGTTTCCTCGACGTGCTTAGAACCTCTCTAACAGTTTCTTCGTGTTCTCTATTCAGGGAATCGGCCTGTGCTTCCGCCACTTCCAGCCTCTCCTCAAGCTCTGTCCTGGCGTCCTCCCACTCAAGCTTCTCAGCACGAAGCTCCGATGCCTCGATCAAGGCCTGCGAAGCCAGATGCTCCTTCTCGTCGCATGTAGCGTCCATTTGATCCGTCAACCTCTGGAGCTCGGCTTGGAGCCGCTCCACGGCAACCGACCTGTCCAACTGTGCTCTCTCATCGATTCTCCTCGACTTCTCTTCCGCCTCAGCCTTGGACTTCGCCATCTTTCGAAGCTCCTCGTTTAGTCTCCCCAGCTCGGCTTCCACTTCCACCACCTTGCCTTCAGCAGATTTTCTCGCCACTACACACTCCTCGTAGCTCTTCCTCGCAGTGGCCAGCTTCTCCTCCATCTCTCGGACCTCTCCTTCACGAGCCTCTTTCAGTTCTCTCATCTCCTCAAGCTGATTCTCGAGCCCCTTACGTGCATGGACTTGAGAGTCCCTCTCTTCCAGCGCCTGAGCCAGCTCCACCTCGAAGCCATGAACCTTAAACTCGTACTCCTTGTTCGTCTGCTCCTGTGATTCCTGTAGCTTGCTTCTCTCTTTCTCGAGCTCCTTCACCCGGTTCTCGCTCGCAAAGCTTTGCATCCGGTACGTCTCTCTCTCCTCGGTCACGAAGTTTAGCTGCGCCTCGAGCCCCGCAATCCTCTCCGTCAGCTGCCAGTTCTCGTCCTCCAAGTGGCTTAGGTGCTTCTCCAGGCTCGCCTTTGCGCTTCCAAACTCCGCCACCCTCTTCTCCAACGTGCTCCTCGCTGAGAGCTCCACCTCGAGCAGCGCATTCGACTCCGCCAGCTCTCCCAGTATCCCATCGAGCTTCTCCTTCAAGAACTTGTTGTCGTCCTGTCCGGTGTGGAGCATCCTTCCAAGCTCGAACCTTTCAAGCTCCAGGCCGTCAACTCTCGTCTCCAGCTCCTGCTTCTTGAGCTCCACAGCCTCGAGCTCCCTCTTGGTCGACGAAAGCTGGAGCTCCAGATCGACGATGCGCGAAGTGCTCAGTATCTCCCGGCTCTGGAGCTCCTGGATCCTGCTCTCAAGCTCGCTGTTGGACGCCTCCAGCATCACGATCTTCGACTCCATATCACTGACCTTCGCAGCTTTGGATCTCAAGAGCTGCGTCTTCTCCCCCAGATCCGACTCATACTTTCGAGCTAGAGATCGCGACTTCAAGTTCTCGCTCTCCAAGTCCGCGAGCCTGTAAGCTAGATCGGTCTTGGCCACCTCGAGGCTGTTTAGAGCCGCCTCGACTTCGTCCTTCCTCTTGCGGTTCTCGGAGTTTTCCTTCTTCACAGTCTCGAGCTCGGTCTGGAGATCCGCCACCAGCCCGAAAGTCATGGAGTACTTCTCGTGCATCTCGTCTGCTCGCTCCTTGAGCCGGAGCTCTCGGCCCGAGAAGGCCTCTCGATCCATGGCGTGCATGGCTCTCGACGCCTTGAGATCCGACTTGAGAGCTTGGATCTCCTCGAGCGAGCTCTTGAGCCGGGCTTCCAGGTCGGCCTTGGCGGACTTAAACTCCTTGCACAACGACTCGAGCTGTGCGAGCTTGTCATTCGTGTTCTGGTGTTCTCTCCGGAACTTCTCGAGCCTCTCCTCCATGTCCGTCATCCCAAGGTAGTCCGACTCTCCAGAAAATCGCGAGAGCTCCTTGTTGGCGATGTTGAGCTTGAAGATCAAGTCCATGTTCTCGTCCGTCAGCTCTTTGATATCCAACTCGAGCTCCTCCACTTCTTTCTTGAGGCCTGCGAGCTCGTTTGGATCGATGAGATTGCTGGCTGCTTGAATCGCCTCCAGGCTCGCCAACTTTTGTTGCAACGAGTTCAGCTCTTCCTCTCTGTCTTGAACTTTCTGTGAGAGAACTCGCTCCACCTCTCCCATCGTCTGCTCCTGATCGACCAAAGAGTTTTGGAGCTCTATGTTCTTCACGGACATGTCTTCCATCTTCTTCCTCTCGTCTGCCAGCGTCTCTTCCAGCTCTCTCACCGTCGACGAGAGCTTCTCCTTCTCTTCCTGGATCTTCTCCAGCCGTGTGTCGAGATTTTCCTTGGATTCCTTCTCGTACGCCAAAACTTGCTGGAGCTCTTTGATGATATGCTTGCAGTCTTCAAGTTCGAGCTTCAAGCTGGCTTGCTGCTCGTCCAGGCCCTGCTTTTCTACTCTGAATCGCTGCATGTCTTCTTGTAAGCTGTCGAGAGCCGAGCTCTTCTCTTCTCTTGTAGCTATACTTTCGTCAAGTTGGCGCTTCAGGGAGCTTACCTCCTCTCTCAAACCATCCCTTTCACCCGTGAGAACAGTGAATTCCTCCTCTCTCGCGGATGCACGGCTTTCTTGATCGAGAAGTTGCTGCTTGAGCTTCTCTAGCTCTTCTTCCAACTTTGACACCCCTTCATCGACATTGCCAGGAGCTTTGTTATCTCCAGAGAGCCGCGCTACTGTTGCGGATGGCAAACTCGTCCTCGCCGCCGGTTTTAAAGGAGTAGCAAGCGACTTGATCGACTCAGTGCTTGCTCTAAGTCTTCCAGTTCGCTCCAGCCTCGAGTTAAAGCTGCCGGTGTTTGCCGTGCTTGCCGGGGACGGCACTTCCGGGGAGTTGTAAAAGTTCTTGCCGCTTCCATTTGCCACCGGAGTTGAGACATCCGAAGAGTCGGAGTTATACCTCGAAAGGACCTTGTCCTGTAAGAGAGAGAAAAAAATAATTCATATCAACCTTTTTTTCTGGGTGGAAGTTCTACTCACTCTACTTGGCGTGGGAGGAGGGAGATTCGTTGACGAGCTAACACTGGAATCATCCTCATCTTCCGAGAGTTGGTCGTTTAGTTCGGCTGTAACTTCCTTCGGTTGCTCAACTTCGCCACTGTCATTGACGTGAAAGAAAGTCAGTGATCTCTCATTGAAAAAATCTTGCTAGCGAGCGCGTAGTACCTGTTTGTGCTCGGGCTGTCTGCCGACGTGAGGCATTGAAGCTTGATCTGTGAGAAGTGGGGTGAGAATCGAACAAATAAAAGAAATGGTACGACGTGAGCGGAAACTTTAATTAGAATCGGAAAGAAACTTACGTGCAAAACAGTGCCTGTGGAACAGCTCTTGAGTGGGAAAGCATACGATGCTGCTGAAGTGACCGAGACATAATCCGCTAAGTTGAGCGTGATCTCTCCTAGAACCCGTGTAGGACTCTACAAAAGGAAAAAGAAGATCACCGCAAGCATTAGAATGAACAAGCAGAGATCATACAGATCTAGCATAGAAACTTTGATCCATCACCAAGAAAACGATCATAGAAATCACGACAAGAATTACCACCACGAACACAATCATGATCTAACAAAGATAGAACGCATTCATGCAAGAAAAGAGGCCGCCATAAAGACGAACACGGAAACTTCACACTCACGAAGAAAAAAGAAGCAAAGCACGCCAACAAAAGAAGGAAAAAGAGAGCAAGAGAAAGAAATTTACCATTCCAAGGACGAACTTGTAGAGCTTGGCCTCGTAAGAATTCGTGCGCGTCTCGTGAACAAGCCTGGTGGATTCGATGATGGCGTCGGGCCATCGGCAAGCCCCACTCTGCGCCACGGATTTGGCAGTCTTGGCAGTCGTCTTGCCAGTTTCGATGGATTCCAGCGACACGTAGAGCTTCTCCCATCCAGAATGCGGTACCTGGAAGGAAGGAAATCATCCAATCACTCACCAATAATCCAATCCCAAGAACTAGCAAAGACGAGAGAAATCTCCACTCCAGTGATGATCCAATCACTCAATCATACCCGAGTGGCGTGGAAGACGAACTTGAATTCGATCCTCTCGCGAAATTTCTCGGGCTTCTTCTTCCCCGCCTTGCCGCTCATCCTGGCACTGAGCAAAGCCCTCTTTCGTCGTCGAGAATCTTGGCGAACGGGAGCTACATTGTCCGCGGGAGCGCCAGATCTAGCAGCGCGAAGACCCTAATTCCCTGGCAAGGCCCCGCCGATGGAAATGTGGCCTCGCCACGATCAAGAACCCAGGCACGGAGCGCAAGAAAAAAATCTCCGGCGCGTGTGAAAGAATCTCTCGATCATGGAATCCCTTCGCCTGTTACAACAATGCCAGTGCCAGTGCCAAGGAATCCCCCTCTAGCTGCGCGCTAGCTTAGGAAATCTAGCTGGAGGAGCTCGATCGAAGCAGTGACGAAGAACCCTAACACTTCATAGCTTTGTTTTGTTCCTAGCTCAAAGGAGCTCTGTTGTGCCATTGCTGTCCTCCACTCCAAAATCCGGGAGATGGGCGCTCGCCTCTCTGCGAAATCCCGCAGACCCATTACAGCTCTGTGGTTTCCTGGCGCTCTCTCGCGACACCCGGCCAGATTCTCGGCAGAGCCCTTTTTTATTCTTCTCTCTTTCTTCCCCGAGCTTGCAATTCCCTACGATCTTTGGAGTGAAGCAAACGCTGGCCCTGGTTGGTCTAGCAAATCAATCACCCTGGATGGATAGATCGCCCATCGATCAATCCATCTATGAATGCTGCTTGCCACGGCGCGAGAGAGAAAGGGAGAAACACGAAAGGGGCTTTGCGCTCGCTCGCATTCTTTCTCGCAATTTGGCAGTCTTTGCATTGAATGAGACGAGACACCAGCCAAATTTTACGCTATCGATCGATCGATTCCTCCCGGTTGGTGGATTAGCGAGAAAAAGAGAGTGAAAAGGAGGAAGAACAGCGCTGTAGCAGCAATCGCTTTCGCTGCTACTCCTTACAAAATTTCGTCGCTGGGCTGTCCAGTGTTTACCCCCACAATGCCAAATTTTCCTCGCTCCTCTGTTAACTCCCAGTCTGGAGAACTCCTTTTCACGGATTAAACTCGTGTTCTTCGCAATGTTTACATTTACCCCGTGTCGGCACCACACAAATTTTAATCCCCAATCATCTGGAGAGCCTTTGTCTCCTAGCAGCAGTACCAAATTTCCTCTTTTTCTTTTTCTTTAGAAAAAGAAGAAAATATTCGAAAAGAATCTCTCCGATTCATTTAACGAATCGCTGCAAAAAAAAAAAAAAAAAGGAAAAGCGGTCTTCGAGGGAAAAATCTGGTGGAAGAGTGAAGGAACCATACGAGTATGATTGTCAAATTCGTTGCCTGCTGGTTTGGTGTTTGATCCAAAGACCAGCAAACATTTCTTCACTTGTTTATAGCTCTCACAGCTCACGGTGATGATTCATGGTTTCTTTCTTATTTCCTGCGATTAAAAATTCGCACCAACGTTACTATCAAAACTTTCGTTTGAGGGGTCAAAGCAAACAAGCATGAGGCCATACATCTCAACACCCCGACGGTAACGCTACCCCAGTATGAAACGAGAAAGACTGAAAGAGAAGAGATAGCGAGAGCTGCGATGGCTACGTCTCTCTAAAGTCACGAGGAAAGACGACTATAACAAAAATAAATGGGAGATATCGTAACGAAGAGGACGCAGAGAGGCTTCCAAACAAATCCACTGAAACCACTAAACCATCATCCCGGCCTAGCTAGCTCCGGACCTGATCGATCGATCACAAAGAAGCAAAGCCAAGCAAAGTTTCTAGGACACGGACGGGCACACGCAATGCAGCACTCAGCTTTCACTCACGCCTGCCATGGAATCCATGCATTTCAACAACCTCAGAAGCTTCAAGTCGGTTTTCTTAAAGCCAACGAGCTCATGAGCGGCCTGAGAGTAAGATCTGACGCTACCTATCCAACTACGAGCGGAACAAACCACACGAATCCATGAATACCATACACACCTGAGTGTACAAACCCAGAAATATATAAAAAAAAAAAACTTACCAAACGAGAGGCATATCTGTGCAGGCAAGGCAAGAACTAGTAACTCCATCACGATCCATCACGAACAAAAATCAAACGAGCTAAGAAAAGAGGGGAAAAAAGGATCTCTCGCTAACTTGCAAATCAAGCATCTACCTGAAGCAAGACACATAAAAAACAGCACAACCTACACGAATCCATAAAATACACACCTGAGAGTACAAGCCCAGGAAAAAGAAAAAGAAGAAAACACTTACAAGGCAAAAACTAATCGCTCCATCACAAACAAAACTCAAACACCACTAAGCTATGAAAAGAGGGGAAAAAAGAAGAATCTCTTGCTAACTTGCAAAATAATCCAAGCCTAGGCACAAAAGGAGCCTCAAACGAATATAAAAATTCAAGCAACACAAGCGCGAGAAGATTGATGCGAAGAATCGAGCGTACCTGATCGAAATATCACGCCGGAGTAGCAGCATTTGGCGTCGGCTTTGGAGGAGGCGGCGGAGGCGGCGTCTGCGATCAGCAAAATCCCGACTAGAACCAGCTAAAATCGACTAGAAATTTCTTACTCTTGTGAGCGCCAATCCAGCAATCGCGATGACGCAGCCGGCGGTGCCAAGCATGAGCTGCGTCTTGTTCACCATTGCTCCTCTCCCTCGCCTAGAACCCTAAACCAGGGTTTATCTCTAAACATCAGGTTTAGCAAGCTATTACCACGTGGACGGCCGAGATTTCTCGGCGCCAAATTCTCGAAGTTTAAATTGTGCCTTACAACTGCCCTATATTTCGAGCATTTTCATCTCCTGGGGAGGGGAGACGAAGCAGCGGCGGCGGGCGAGCGCCTCATCGATCGACGCGTTGGAATGCTAGATCATTCGATCGCCAGGTATAGGCGGCTATAAAACCCTAGGCTGCCGGCGCGAGATCTGGCGAGCAGGGTTCTCGACATTCGGCGTTGTGAATTGTGAGTATCGCGGGTCGGAATAAGCAGGGATTCTCGCCATGGCGGGGCTGATCTACAGTTTTGTGTCGAGAGGCAATGTGGTTCTGGCGGAGTTCACGGCATTCTCTGGAAATTTTAGCACCATCGCTGTCCAGTGCCTCCAGAAGCTCCCCGCCAACAACAACAGATTCACCTATACTTGCGATCGTCATACTTTCAATTACTTGATTGAGGAGGGATTCAGTAAGTAGCATTTTCTCCATTCTTCTTTAGCTCATGGGTTTTTCCTTTGCAGCTTATATGGTTGTAGCAGACGAGGACTATGGGAGACAAGTACCTTTCGCGTTTCTTGAACGGGTTAAGGAAGACTTTAGGCGAAGATATGTTGGAGGAAGAGCGGAGACTGCCGTTGCTCACAGTTTGGACAGAGAATTTGGGTAACATGAACTCTTACATGGCTTGCTCAATCTGTACCTTGTGTTTTAGGCCCAAGCTCAAAGAACACATGGAATACTGCGCAGATCATCCAGAAGAAATGAACAAGATTGCCAGAATCAAACAGCAGGTTTCCGAAGTGAAAGGGATCATGATGGATAACATTGAAAAGGTGCACTATAGAGTTTCTAAAAGAAATTCGGTTCTTCAACTTTGGTTTTCCAGGTGCTCGAGAGGGGGGAGAAAATCGAGCTTCTGGTTGATAAGACGGAAAACCTACGGTTTCAGGTACAGTGCTTTGTAACGTAAGAACGAAAATCAGTGTAACGCTACCTTCGATGGCAAACTGCAGGCCGACAACTTCCAACGGCAAGGCAGGCAGCTAAGGCGCAAGATGTGGCTGCAGAATATGAAAATGAAGCTCATAGTTCTTGCGATTGTCCTTTTCGTCATCGTAGTCATATGGCTTGCAATATGCCATGGGTTCAGCTGTAAGTAGGTGAAACTTGGTCAATCACAGGTTTGGCTGGTAGTATACAGAGAGTTTTAGATTAGTTTCTCGACCAGGCTGAGCAAGTTTCGTGATGAGACTTTCAGGATCGAGACATGTACAGTCTTTGATCAGCATGGAGGTGGGAGAGAGCCACATAAGCAGAATGATCGAAGGGATCCAGCTGCAGAACACGTCTGGCTGCCTCGGATCCTCGTTCTTTGTCGTGGTGAGTTCTGCAAGCACCAAGAAACGCCATCCGAACGGATTGGTCGGGTGGAAACGGCATGGATGTGGTAACTTTCTCGGCTATATCAAGACGCCCAGCTCTGCCCAGCAGATCGATCAAACACGAGTAATGCTGCGAATTGCACGTAAGTTGGTAGTCACATTTCATCCCTGCAAAGTACTGACAACCTTGACTGACCAGGCCACCGTGAGCACAAGCAGACAACACGGCATTCAACGTGATTCCATCGGGCTTGAAGCCACCGTCCTGCTGCATTTCCCAGAAGAGCTTCAGTGCTCTCTCAGAATTGCCGTTCTGAGCGTTTGCCGCAATGTAAACGTTACACAGCACCAGGTTCTTCACTGCCACAGCATTATAGGCCCGCTTCGCCTGCTTCAGGTTGCCACAACCACTGTACATCTCAACCAAAGCAGCAGCAACGTCCACCTCACTCTGGAATCCAGAAGCCACAATCTGGGAATGAATCCAAAGGCCGTCGCTTAGGCTCCTACAGGAACTTAACAGCTCCAGGAACGTTACTTGGTTGGCACGAACTCCAGAATGAAGCAATCTCCGGAAAACTACCAGAGCGTCTTGGAACTGAGCTCGCTGGGAGAAGGCCGCAATCAGAGCAGTACAGGAAATAACATCCGGAGAGCTGATAGAGCGGAACACTCTTCTCGCTCCTTCAACGTCACCACACTTTCCATAGAAGCTGACGAGCGCATTCGTGACTTGGAGGCTCGACTGGTAGCCGCTCTCAGCAATGCAATTCAAGACGAGCTGGTAAAACGGAGGAACTGGAGGATCGACAAGGTTTTTCTCCATGGAGCTAAGGATCGACAAAAAGGTGGCTCTGTCCGGTCTCCTCCCTTCGGCCATCATCTCCATGAACAGCGACGCCACTCGAGGAGCTTCTCCTTCCTCCGCAGCAGCGTTGATCATCACGTTCCAAGAGATTTCATCTCTCTCAGCCATGGAGTGGAAGACTCTCGCCGCTGCAGCAAGATCACCGCACCGAGCAAGCATTCCAACGCAGGCATTGGCAACAACAGTCACCGCTCCAAATCCGGACCCGACGATCTGCTCGTGGATCAACTTCGCAGCACGAAGATCTTTACTACCAGAGAAGAGCACTAGCGTCGAGCTAAAGGTGATCTCGTTTGGCCTCACACCTTCCAGCTGCATCGATCGAAACAACCGCATTGCCTCGGCAAGCTCCCCCAACCTGGCATACGATGCGATCATCACAGTCCAGGACACAACGTTTCTTTCGGGCATCCTCTCGAAGACTTTCCAGCAGCTTCGAAGATCCAGCCTCTTGCTATACATGCTCATCAGCGCGTTGGCAACGATTAGCTCCTGTTCCAGGCCACTCTCGACGATCCATCCGTGGACGCAAGTTGCCAGTTCCTGCGATTCATCTAGAGCGAGAGCCCCCAGCATCGCGACGAAGCTCACGGCGTCCGGGATCACTCCCTCAAGCAGCAGGCAGTGGAAGAGATAGATGGCCTGGTGGAAATCTCCGGAGTGGACGTAAGCGCTGATGATCGCGGTCCAGGCAAGCTTGCCTCGAGCCGGCATTGCGTCGAGCACCCTGCGAGCGTCGGCGAGGCTGCCGCATTTGAGATACATCTGGACGAGCTGGTTTCCAAGGTGGTGGTCGCGATCCAGCCCGGAGCTGACGATCCGCGAGTGGATCATCCGGGCGGTGGCGAGATCTCGCGTGGTGGAGCTGCATTCTCGCATGAGATTCGCGAGGAGTGATCGAGGGGGAAGAACTTTTGGTGGAGATGGGAGTGAATCGCTACTAAAGAAGGCCTTGAAGAGGAAGTGGGTGTTTCCAAGAGAGTTCTTTCTCATGGTTTGCTGGAGTGAAAGTTATACCAAACACTCCATGGAATGAAAATACAAAACTAATTAGAGACATGAAACCATTGTTTAGAATTCAGAAACACAAGTTGCAATGGGTAGCAGGAGCTCCGGCAGGGAGACTGACAATGTACCAACTGCTCCAGTATCCTTCAAAAACTTGGGAATCTCCAAGAGTATTATCATGGTGACTGATCTCACCCCATGCGCGGCGCGGCAGTATGAAACAGACACAGATGGATCCGTCGCAAAGTAAAACACACCGTACCTGGTTTTCGCAGGATCCAGACCAAACTGTAAAATGGACGAAAGATTCTCCGTGGGGCTCCCGTGGCAGCAAACATCAAGTCTACGAAGCCCGCCACCTTGATCTCTGAGAGCCTTGCAGAACTGGAGGTAGCGTCCATGGCTACTCCTGGGACCAGCCTGCAGAAACGGATTCGGAGTAACACTCTGTATCCTTGGAAACTGTCTTGCAACTCCGGCACGATGCTCTGCATGAAATCCGCATCCAAAAGCTTGTCCAGAAGCAAAACAGCATCATCTGACACACTGCTACCGACCATCTCGGCTGTCACTACGATCTTGACAGGCCGCTTGAAACCAGTTCTCGTGTTGATCTGTTCCATGCTGCCAAAGTCAATGCGGTATGAATCTCCTGAAGGGTGCCGGATTTCTTCGCAGCCATGATCTTTGAAGATAAGTCGGAATTATATTCCTGCCAACGGATCATATATTTAGGAAGGTCATCTTTGATGCCTTGAAAGATCAGCCAGAAGATACTATAAGATTTTGATCATTTTTCACAATCAGCATATTCTATCATTTAGGGTATTATTCTGTTAGGGCTCCGGCACTAACGCACTCTTCACTATTGACTCGACTCCAAAGCAATAATCCTCATTCCCTTTGTAGAACGCAAAGAATTTTCTTGCGTCTAAAATGCACGTGCCTTGGATAGCCACAACGTTTGAAGCTTAAAGCACTTGCTTGAATAACTCTCCCTTCTTTTTCTCTCACAGACGAACACCTCATCATTGTGGGAAAAACTTCTTTCAACGGCAAGGCCATAGAAGCATTTGCAGGCCTTGTGTTCAGCAATGCTTCGTTGACAGCTTTCCCCTTTCTGAAGCTGACACTCCCCCAAGATTCAGGAACAAGCTCGTGTATGGTACCTGGAGCTCTGGTGCTATCCCGAAAAAATCTCTAGAACACTTTGCAAATTCTACATGACTGCCCCCAAAGACTGACTTGCAGCAGGCTGAAAGCGTCACCCGTGAAGCCCAATAAGATCATGTCGACTCCCCCCTTCGGGCAGATGATTCCAACACCCGCCTTTCCCAGTGCAAACATTTGCTACTTGGTATGTCGAGCTTTTTAAACTGCAAGCACAAGAACTTCGCTTTCGCCACCTTTTCCCAACGCTTCCGCTGAGAAACATCCTCTATGCAAAGAAGCGTCTTCCCGCAAAGGCTGCCACACAACTCCTCTAGAGTGAAGTCCACTGCAAGTAACAGCAGCAGTCGTGCCACAAGCTCCCCTTTGCAACCAGCATCGATCCAACCTTTCTGGAGCCCGTCATGAATCTTCCAAACAAATCTTCCATTCGGCGGCTGTTTCCGGAAAACAAGAGCTGCAGCCGCTGCAACTGCTGGCTCCACGGCCCAATCCGTCCAGACACGCCGCAGGCCCAAGATGGACTCGACGGTAAGCAAATGGCTGGCAACCATGCGAGAGACAATGCTGACCTGCGGGTTAATGTCGATGCACACCGACGGCCAACTTGGCCTCTGTCGATATCGTACCATTGTGATGAAACTTATTAGATGTTCCAGTACCACCAAGGAGCTTCTCCACAGCAAGGACCTGTACCCGACTTCCGCAAGCCTTGTACATTGCTGCCCACAACGGACGGCCGTATGCAAAGAGACGACCCGAATCTGTGACTTGATCGAGCGAAAGGCTGCCTGTTTCCGGTGGCGAGCGCGCCGCAAACATGCAGTAGAGAGGATGTGCAACGAGCGCTCCTTCTGCACCGACACGGTCGCCGGGACCAGGAGCTAAGCTGTTGATAATACTACTGCAGGTGTCGATGAAGATAGCAGCCACAGCTCCTTTGTCTGGCAGAACCCTGGTGGCTCTTGTGGCAGGCACGACGGCGTCGAAAGCTCCTTCATATTGGCCGTGAGCAAACCATCGGGCTTCGTCATGACAAGCAAAACTTTGGGCTTCCCAGATGGAGACTCTGGCAAGTCCTTGAGTTTGTTGCGAATCCTCGTTCTACTTCCCGCGAGTGGCAGCTTCTCTTCCCATTCGTCCCAAACGTTGGATTCCTTTCCATGGAAGCGCAAGAGAACCGACAGGAGCTTCCCGGTCGTGTTTCCGTCGCTCCAAGCATCCGCTCCTCCAGGAATGCTTCCGACTTCATCTTCATCTCCACGGCTGTGCGATTCGAAGCAGTCCATGCAAAAGAGCATGAACCTGCTTTGCAACACAAGCAATGTCCCCGAGCAGAGTAAGGTGACAGCGCTGTCATAAAAGAAATCGGGAATGGAGGGTATGTGGAGCCAGAGGCCAGCAGTAAACCATGAACACACCCCAAGTCACAAGCTCACACGTAGTGCTCAGCTTTCACAGTTTGATACCTTTGTTGGAATGCTTCCTTCAAAATGTACTAATCTTATTCATTATAATAAACTAGAATATACTAGGAAGTTTTTGTTTATAAATTATAAATATAAAATTAATCTAAATGAATAACAATTATCAAATGGTAGAATATTTTAGAATATTCAAGTATATTTTACCCAAATTCCTAGAAATTTCCTTAAGCAAATATATAAATAAATTTATTTGTAAGTGCTTGGAAATAGGTATAATAATTAGGGTATAAACCCTGCTTATATATATGGCTGGGCTATATTTAGTCTCAAATGGATGGTACATATATTATACTACTATAATTAGTATATTATCTAAGTAGTGATATATATATATATATATATATATATATATATATATATATATAGCCACAAACCTTACACTATCCTCCCCTTTAGAAGATAAAATAATAATGATAATAAGTTAGGTGGAACATTTGAAATTTGGAGATTTTATTAAATGATTATAAACTACTACAAAAACTTAATTAAATTTAGGTTATACATATATACATGTATTACCATACTAATTATAATAGTATAATCCATTTAACCTCAATTAGCATAGTTATTTCTATATCTTCAACACTCATATTGATGGAGATTAGAAGTATTGTAATTTGTCTTTAGAAGGCAGAATTTTGGCAGTACTTTGTTTAGTGTTTAGGATTATAGTTTTATTTTTATTCCTTCATTCTTTTTTAGATCTAGATTTATGTTATTTTTTCTCAAGATCTAAAATTATAGCTATCAAATTTCTCAATCACTATTACATTCACTTTTTTTGCCATGCCACACCGTCATTGATAAGGAGCATATAATTTGAGGTTATTGATGTTGTTTTGTTATATTGAGTTTTTAATGTTATAGGGCATAATTATATTAATGTTGCACCAATCCTTGGTGTGTTGCCATCTCCAGCTTGTATAAAACGTGATTATATTGTGTCTTTTGTTTTTGGTATTATCTTCCATTAATGTAAAACATGATCATAACATCAATTGGAAAGTTACAAATGATGTAATCTAGTTTTAAAAAATGTTGCCGTCTCCAACTTGTATAGAACATGATTACATTGTGTCTCTTGTTTTTGGTATTATCTTTAACACATTTTCAAATATATCTTCATAATAATTAAGCTTCTCATCACAATTTAATTTCATTTGAGCTTCTAAATATCATCTTCCCATAAACTTTATCCTTGAACATTCTTTAAAAATTAAATTACATAATTTATAACTTTCCAATTAATGTTATGATTATGTTCTACATCAATGAAAGTAATACCAAAAACAAAAGATACAATGTAATCACGTTCTATACAAGCTGAAGATGGCAACACACTAAGGATGGGTGCAATATTAATATAATCATGCCCTACAACACTAAAAACTCAATATAAAAAAATAACATCAATAACCTCAATTTATATACTCCTTATCAATGACGGTGTGGCATGGCAAAAAAAGTGAATGTAATAGTTAGATCTTGAGAAAAACTAACACAAATCTAGATCTAAAAAAGAATGAAGGAATAAAAATAAAACTATAATCCTAAACACTAAACAAAGTATTGCTAAAATTCTGCCTTTTAAAGACAAATTACAATGCTTCTAATCTCCACCAATATGAGTGTTGAAGATATAGAAATAAATATGCTAATTGAGATTAAATGGACGGTCTATATACTATACTACTATAATTAGTATGGTAATACATATATATATATATATATATATATATATATATATATATATATATATATATATATATATATATATATATATATGTATATATATATGTATGTATAACCTAAATTTAATTAAACAACTATAAAAAAAAATAATGTCTTCAACTGTGAGTGCATGGAATATGGAAAGGGAATACAAAAATGTGCATATCCATTAGCCCAAAAACCCTAGCTTATATACAGGAGCGAGTGGTCCGGAGAATGGTCCGGATTGAAACCAATTCGACAGCTACCAAAATCCACTACGCTAATATTAGTATATGGCATCGTAGCCATACACTTGGCCCTCACATCATCCCCTCCTCTCGGAATAATGGAAGGCCGTTAGGGTTCTCTTGTAGATGGGCCGGGATCTGGAGGAACGTCAGGAGGAGGCATCAGCGAATCTGTAGATGGTATTAACTGCTCCTGATCCCTTTGTATGAAGCGTTTTAACCGCTGCACATGCACAATCTCCGGAGGATTGGCCTGCTGAACGTCATGCCGAACCTCATAAACTTGCGGTCCAACTTGCCGCAACACCCAATACGGTCCTTTCCATTGCGCAAGGAGCCCCTTAGATAAACCATGTACCGTAAGATGGGGAAAATGGACTAACACCAAATCATCCACTTTGTACTCTGCAGGTGGACGATGATGGGAGTTGTACTGCTGTTGTTGTCCCACTTGTATGCGGCCTAAGTGTTTGGCAGACTCTGCTCGGACAAGTGGAAGAATGTTTGTCAAATACTAATCCCATGACCTAGCATCAGGAGCTCGTGGCAATCGCGAAGGTAAACCAACTCTGTTGGTAATATTAGATCATGACCATATAGAAGTTTATATGGTGAAGCACCAACAGAACTCTGCACCCCTGTGACATAGGCATACCAAAGAGACGGCAAATAACCATCTCAATCCGAATGCTGAAAGTTCACATACTGTACAATCATCCCTTTGAATGTCCAAACGAGCCGTTCCACCAAACCGTCTGATTGTGGATGATAAGCACTCGTAAAAGTGTGGCGTATCTCCAACCGAGATGCCAAAACATGAAATACCTCAGCCATAAATGCAGAACCATTATCCGAAAGAATCCGCTCTGAACAAGAATGCTAGAACACCACTCGATTGAGGAGGAAGTATCCAACAGCAGTTGCAAAGGCGCTAGCAAGAGCACCAACTTCCACCCAACGAGTCAAGTAGTCAGAAGCAATAATAACATACTCATTGCCAACAGT